TCCCCACGAATGGCTCTGCTACCTCAGGTTTCATGCGTGGGGAGGCCGGGGTCCACGTGCGGCCTGGGGGCGAGCTTCAGTGGTCAGGATCACTGGATCACGCACCACCAGCAGGGTGCCTCCACCCAGCCTCACCCTGCAGCCTAACGCTCTGGACACGGGTGGTCTACATTTGTCTGACCTTGGGTTCCGAAACCCTGTTCTTGCACCCAGGAGGCCCAGGGGATGGACAGGACTGGGTTAAGACCGTTCACTTCGGTCTTGACCACGCTGAGCTCTTCCTGGTCTCTCACCCTGGTCTGCCCGAGGCCCTACCGGGGAGCTCAGTGGCCACATGTCCCTGCGAGCTTTTGAGAGGGGAGGTTGTGGGGCACCTGCACAGGCTGGCCCCACCTGTTGCTCCAGCCACACCGCCATGGGGAGGGCGATCATCCACCATAAGCAGGGACCTCTGGGGCTCTGGTGTGCGCGGTGTAGTCAGGTCAGCTCGGTCTCTCCTGCAAAGCTGGGCTCGACACTGGGAGACAAAGCCAGGGTTGCTGCCCCGACCCAATGGCCCTGCGCCCAAGGCCAGGGCGCACACGACACCACTGGTAGGGCTGTGGCCATCTGCGGGCGTCCGACCCCTGACGCTTAGTTGGCCACCCCGCGGGCAGGTGAGGACACGCAGGAAGCCTGGCGTGGCCAGCGCCTCCACCCAGCTGCGCCCGTGCGGGATCCCGCACGAGCTCCTCCCGCCTCTCTAAGGACCACGCGGCCGCCGTACCTGTGCTAAGCTGAAGCGCGCCAGCGCCCGCGGAGCTCCCCCTGGCAGACGCGCAACCGCTGGGTGCGCAGTGCCGCCGTCTGCCCCTGCAGGACGCGCCTCTCTGCCTGCGCCTCAGGCGCCTCTGCCCCCGCTGAGCTGCTGTGGCCGCCAGGAGCACCTGGGCCGGAGATGCTTGCGGCCTGGGCCAGGGATTGGGAGGGCCCCGAGTTTCTAGAGCAGGGTCGTCCATTCTAAGGGCTGGGCTCTGGCCTCAGCTTATTTTTCTCCTAAACAGGCGTGTCCACCAGCTGACTCCTCTGTTGTAGGGGGGCTTACTGACGCAAGAAAATCCAGCCCCTGACTCCCTGTGGGCCCCTCCGAGCCTCAATTTCCCCATCTGTCAGCAGGGACTGGGATGTGGGGGCCTGGGTCTCTGCAGCCTGCACACTTGCCTCCAGCATCTCTCTAGGCCTCCATCATGCTGAGGGGCTGGATCCTGCAGAGACCACAGGGCCTCTCCCCTGCAGGCCTGTCACCGGCCTCCTGGTGGACAGCGTACCCGTGCCCTCCTGGGCACCCTCACCTGTCGCAGGGCGCTCCAGCGATCCTCAGCGCCTGCCTGGCACCTGTGGCTGCAAGTTGGTGAGCTGCTCCTCCAGCAGCGCTCCCCCTCTGTGGCCAGGCCTTGATGTGGGCTCCTGCTCTCATCAAGCGGCCTGGTGCTGAGCATTGTCCAAGTTGGTCTGGGGGTTGAAGGGAGACACAGGGGCCCACCTGGAGACAGGTGGGGGTGGGGAGCCCTGCAGTAAACCCTGCACCTCAGGGCATCTGCCTACGATGTCTGGCAGGACCGTATCACTGGGATGAAAACAGCAAGAACGTGGTTAAGAACGACTGATGGAGTGTGTTGATCAGGTTGGGTTGTGTTTGCAACAGTCAAGTCGGAAGGTGTGGTAGCAGCGAAGCCTGGAGATGAAAGTCCTGGGGGTCTGGTCCAGGCGATGGGCCAAAGGTTGCAGGCTGGCAGGTTCTCTGCTGCAGCCAGTGGTCTCAGAGGGCACATCAGTGGGCGGATTTTCCCCCTGCTGCTTCGCCAGAGCTTGTTGGTGACTCCTACTGCCCTGGGGATAAAGCCTGAGGTGACCCTCCCCAAGGCTCCTGGAGCGTGTTTGGCTCAGGCCCTGCTTGCCCTTCTGGCAGTTACACGGTGTGTTCTCCTGCTTCAGCTCCCACCTGGGGACATGGCTAGTCCCATACTGATCTCAGGAGCTCCCCTTCTGGCATATCCAGCGGGCTGTGTTCTCCGTGCTTCAGCTCCCACCTGGGACATGGCTAGGACGGCGTGCCCAGTACTGAGCTCAGGAGCTGCCCCTTCTGGCAATGTACGCACGGTGTGTTCTCCTGCTTCAGCTCCCACCTGGGACGATGGCTAGTCCCATACTGAGTCTCAGGAGCTCCCCTTTGGCATTACACGGTGTGCTCCGCTTGGCTTCGCCCGCGCGACATGGCGGATGGTGTCCCATACGGAGCTCAGGAGCTCCCCTCTCGGCATTACACGGTTGGTGTTTCCTGCTTCAGCTCCCACCTGGGGACATGGGCTAGTCCCGAGATACTCGACTCAGGAGCTCGCCTTCTGGCGATACACGGCCCGTATGTGTTTCTCCTGCTTCAGTCCCACCTGGGAATGGCTAGTCCCATACTGAGCTCAGGAGCTCCCCTTCTGGCATTACACGGTGTGTTCTCCTGCTTCAGCTCCCACCTGGGGACATGGCTAGTCCCACACTGAGCTCAGGAGCTCCAGAGCCCATGAAGGTGCGATGGCCCATGATCCCCGCCATGTCCCTCACCCCTGCGCCCTCTTCTCAGCCCCTCTGCCATCAGCCTGTCCAAACCACCATTATCCACTTGGGACCAGTGACAACCCTTCAGTTTCCTCACTGTTCCCAGGCGCTGCTACCCCATGACGGCTGAGGGTGCATTTCACTTGAATATCATTGGCCATGCCACTGCCTTGCTCTGGGCCTGTGGTGCTCCCAGCTGCCCCCAGGACACTGCCCGGGGAACTCACCACCCCTTCAACCACGTGCACCTGCTGCCCTCTGTGCATAACCTTCCCCGTGGCGCCCCCACCCTACACTGCCGCCTTCTCCTCCTGCTTGCAGGAATCCTGCCTCCCTGTCACCCCAGGAGGGAGGATGGTACCCGTGAGGTCCCCTGAGCCCCAGAGCTGGCAGCTGTTGGGCCTTGAGAGGCCCCCAGATGTGTGAAGGAGCTTGCAAGGCATCTGTCACTGGAAGCTTGTTGACTGCAAGTTGGCCTGGTCAGGTCTTGATGAGCCCCCACCCTTGCACCTTCCCGAGGGTTTTGTGGGAGAAATGGCTAGCTCCTTCTGGGGTGGCCGGACTCTGGAAACACTTTTTTTTTTTTTTTTGGTCCAACACTTTGTTACTTTAAAAAAGGAAAAGAAGGAAGACAATGCTTGCACCTCAGATTGTGATGCTTCACCCTTTGTGCAATTTTGAAAATTATAATTTTCTATATAATTTTCCAGTAGAAAAGCAGAAGTTTTCGTCAAATAGCTTAAATATTTCACGGCAGTGTTAAGAGGTCCCAAACCTCTTGTAATGACTCAGCTTTTATGGAATTTGAAGGAACCGTAATAATTGAATGGTTCTCCTTTAATGCACAGCCCCACTGGCCCCAGGGAGTTGCTCTCATCTCTTGTGTCCCTTTGGCTCTAAATCCTGATGCTGTGTGAGAGGCAGGCTGGCAAAACAAACCTTGAAAACGTGGATTCGGTCTGAGAGTTTAAGTAGCTGCAGAAAAGAACCCCAGCCCTTCTCCCCCAGAGCTGAGTGCTCAGGCATGAGCCTGGGCTCCAGAGGCTCCTACCCTGGAGCCCGAGCAGGGCAGAGCCTGGGCTTGGAGCCAGCATGTGGGGCTCCAGTGTCAGTTTCCCCATCTGGGGCGCAGGTATGAGGCAGCCTCACAGGGGTCTCGTTGGGACCAAAAGAAGGCTGGGGCAGGGTGTGATGGTTCATGCCTGTAATCCCAGCACTTTGGGAGGTTGAGATGGGCAGATTATCTGAGGTCAGGAGTTCGAGACCAGCCTGGACAACACGATGAAGTCCCCCCGTTCCTACTAAAAATACAAAAAATTAGCCGGGCATAGTGGCGGGCGCCTGTAATCTCAGCTACTTGGGAGGCTGAGGCAGGAGAATCACTTGAACCTGGGAGGCAGAGGTTGCAGTGAATCAAGACCACGGCACTGTACTCCAGCCTGGGCAACAAGAGTGAAACCCTGTCTCAAAAAAAAAAAAAAAAAAAAGGCTGGGAGGATGCTGTGGACTCTGAGATGCCCCCAGGGAAGCTGTTACAAATGAAGGGCTTGCATGGAAGGCTGGGAAATATCTGAACATGAGCAGAAGGGACAAAGGCCTCGTTAAGCATCCTGCTGGCTGCACAGAGGAGGACAGGGCAGGCCACAAACACTCGCCAAATCCATCCTTTGGGCTCTTGGAATTGGGGTCCTCAGTCTGATACCCATTTATCCACTGGGCGGCGATGGGCCAATTCGGTTGCCCACTGGCAGGTATCCCCTGGGCTCCCTGCACTGGCCAGCTGCCCCATCCTGCCCTCAGGCCAGTCACGGGACAGAGTTAGCTCTGGACAGTCCTCAGACACAAGGGTGTCAGAGCCCTTCACTCCACACAGTGGGACTCTGGGGCCAGACAGAGGGCAGGGTCTGATGCTAGTTCATGGTGGCAGGGCCTCCTCTGGACTGTGGCCTGCCCTGCTGCCTCTGTATCTATTCTGCCAGCCTCTCCTTCTTTGACCATACTAGCATTATAGCCTGTTGTACTATTCACTTTCAAAATTTTCTTGGAAAATCTCAAACATCTATTCTTTCCTGTAAACTTTGCAATCAGCTTGTCCAGTATTCTCTAAACACATCACAAACAAATAGACAAAACCAAACCAAAAAAGCGAATTACCAACAAACAACTGACAAAGCGGGAGCATAAACACAGATCCACCCAGAAGCTGATCAAAAGAAAACCGTCATCCCTGCCCAAGCCACAGCCTCTCCAGGAAGATGACATAAGCAACCAAAAGTGGCACAAACACGCACTCATGCTTTCAAATAACCCTCGAATTCAAGAAGAAATAAAAATGGAAACATCTAGAAAACTAGTAAAAAGGAAAAGAACTCACATCAAAATCTGATGGGACACATACCAAACCACAATTAGGGAAAATAGGATCACATTAAATGCTCTTACTATTGAAAGACAAAGCCCAAACATAAACAAATTACTTATTCCTTTCAAGAAATCAGAAAAATTACAACAAAAAGAGAGTGTTGGCTGGATGTGGTGGCTCATGCCTGTAATCCCAGCACTTTGGGAGGCCGAGGTGGGTGGATCACTTGAATGCAGGAGTTCGAGACCAGCCTAGGCAATATGGTTTAATACCATCTCTACAAACAAACAAACAAAAATACAAAAGTTAGCCAGGTGTAGTGGCATACGCCTGTAGTTCCAGCTACTCAAGAGGCTGAGGTAGGAAGATCGCTTGAGCCCAGGAGGTAGAGGCTGCAGTGAGCTGAAATCATGCCACTGCGCTCTAGCCTGGGTGACAGAGCGAGACCCTCAAAACATTTTTTAAAGAAGTAAACTAAAAATAAAAATAGAGTGTTCATAGAAACAAAAGCTGAAATCGATAAACTAGACAAAAATAAAAGGAGATAAATTGATTCTTTGAAAAGAGGAATAAAACATGAACTGCTGGCAAAATCAGACTAAGGGAAAGAAACAAATCTCCAACACGAAGGACAGAAACAACTATAACTCCACATGTAAATAAGGCACAACTATGCATATAAGGCAGGTGTAACTGCTGACAAGACCATGTATATAACGAAGGTGATGCTGAGCAGATGTATGTGCAGGTCTTTGGCAATGTACTGAACGTGTAAGATGAGTTATGCTCCCATAGCGCAAAACTGACCCCAGAAGAAATGGAAAACTAAAACAGACCCTTGACAGAAAAGAGATTGGAAAGGGAATTCAGTTGTTTTCTTCACAATGACAGGAGCTGCGGAATATGTACAGGGAAGTTCAACGAACCTTTCAAGAAAGGTTCCAGGTGATGGAAAAAATGGAAAGCCCACCAATTCATTTTATAAAATAATAAAATTTTCTTAACACAAATCTGAAAAATATGTCACCATAAAGGAATTACAGATGCAAAAATTCTTGACAAAACACTGAGAGAAATCAAGTCCGACTGTGGCTCGGTGTCCACCTTGTGGGCCCTGCCGTCCCTAAGCTGCTCTGCTAGCTTTGGGCATGTGTGAACCCTGGAAACTTTTAGAACCTGTGACTGATGCTGAGTTGAGCCCCCACAGGCGGGTGAACTCCAGGGCTGGCACTGGGGATGTGGGGAGCTGGAGGGGTGGGTGTGGCACGTGGGCACAGCAGGGGAAGGAGGCCTGGGCAGGAGTCCAAGGACGCCATGAGCTTCCCTGAGCCACGGAGGCTGTGACCAGGCGTCAGTCCAAGGGTGGCATGGGGGGCCTTTCTGAGCCCACATGAGGCTGTGGGTGATGCTGGGTGAGTGCCAGGCCTCCTGCCTGCTCGGAGACCTGACCAGCTACTTGGGCACTGCTGCTGCATTCTGCGCGTGTCCTGACGCCATGGGCTGGTCCTGCATGGCTGTTCTATCAAATTCCCAGGGTAGCCTTGGAAACGGGGAGGGATTTGCTCTCAAACAAGAATCTTACTGTTTGCATAGCACAGCCTACCATTTAATTACAAAAATATGTTTTTAATTAACTTTCTCTTGACAAACACATTGGCTTATGTGAAACAGGGGAAAAACCAGTCCATGAAAGTGAAAGTTGTTGTGTCAAATGCAGAGCTGGCTCTAGACTGTGCTGGGAGCTTGGCAGAGCCAGGAGAGGTGCCAGGCCTGCCCTACTGGACCCTAGCACCCCCCGGGCTCAGCAAGGGGCACGGGGCAGCAGGGAGCATGGCTGTGTGTTCCCAGCCCCCTGGCTGGCTAGAAAATTTCAACCCTGAACTCTCTGCCTGGGTTTGCTGTGTGTCACAAGTGTGGGCCTCTATGACTTAGGTGTGCCTGAATCCTGAAACCCACCACAATGACCAATAGATTACAAAAAGTTGGGAAAAACTTTCCTTAGGGCTGGAGACCAGGGACTCGGAGGACTCCCGAGGGCAGATGAAACCAACCTGCCTAAAAATAGGTGAAACAGTGATTGCCAGAATTATAAGAAAACATTGACACAATAATGATAGATTTTAGCACATTTCACTAAAAAAGTTGAGCAAATTCTAGACCAAGCAGAAAAATGCATACAGACAAAGGTCTGATCAACGTCAGAGGTGTCCTCTGCACTTTGGCTCAGAGACCCAAAGTGGGACCCCCGTACCCCCATACCCTGGCTCAGAAGGGGGAGGACTGGAGGGAGCTGCAGGGGTGTTGGGGAGGCAACTCTATCCCACTAGGACCTCAGGAAAGAGGGTTGCTGTGGCTGGGGGACCCAGGGAGCCCTCCATCCCTGTGAGGCAAGCAGCTGGGGAGGTGGAGGACCCCACCAAGACTGTGCACCAGCGAGCGTGTGCCCACCCCGCCCACTTCGGGAACAGAACGGCTCTGGGAGGGGCCCAAACTCCACTACTGGCTCCCTACACTCCCCAGTGGCTCCCTGTGGCTGCGGGATCTTGGAACCCTTCTCTCTGCCTTCCCTTTGAGCCTGAAATATTAGGATGGGACCACATAAAGTCCCTGATGGGCTCCACTCCACTCTCAACTTCAAACAAGGCTAGAACTCCTTTCTTTAAAGACACGCAAAGGAAAAAAATTCATAAAACTAGTGTCTACTGGGGTTTGAGAAAATAAAGTGGATCTGAGGACTCAGGTCTGAGAGTCTCTAATGAAACAGAGAAGTGAGCTACTGACACGCATCAGAAGATGGTAACTGGCGTTCTCAAGGTGAGGACAGGGCAGGGGTCTCGAGGTGGACAATCCAAAATGAAAACTCAGGCCGAAGGAGGCCGCTGTGGGGGCAGGAGCAGCAGATGAGATGCGGCAGATCCTGAGATTAGCTGAGTAGGAGGAGTAAGACCTGAAATTCTCCTGGGACCTTGGGGAAAACCGAGATGAGAAGGAGAAATTCAAGACTGAAGCCAGGAGGACAGGTCCGGGGGTCAGTATTGGGAGGCTGAGAATTCAGGACAAAAGAACAGAGAAGAGGGAGAAGGAGAAGAGATGGTTTTTTTGTTTGTTTGTTTTGTTTTTTTTTAACAGTGGAAGGAACCTCTGTAAACAGAAGGTAGATTTGATTCTGCAAGTAGGGAGGGCTTGCCAGAGTAGGTAAAAATAATGAAAGGGGCCGACATGCCCACATTTTGGTGACATTTTTTAATTTCAAAGACATGGAGGCCTCTGGCTGCCACTCTGGAAAGAGTACTGATAAGAAAACACAAAGAACCCAGGGAATCCGCACATTTCTTGAACCCATCTGAACTCAAGGTCAGAGGCAAACAAGGAGTCCAGAATCAAATGAAAACCAGGCCCCCCAGGAGAGATGCCATGAGCGGCCCCAGCCATCATACCAGAGGCACGGAGTTCACCAAAGCTGGTAACACGTTGCTTGGACCCATGTGGCAGGCAGAGCCCTCAGAGGGCCCCGTGAGCTCTGGCCCCGACGTTATCCTGTGATTACATTGGATTCAGGCCAGGGGACTTTGTGGATGCAAATAGTTGACTCTGAGTTAAGCAAAGGGTGACCACCCAGGTGGGCCTCACCCACTCACGCATGCCCTCGGGTGTCGGCAGAAGGGAGCCGTGAGGTGGGAGGTACGTGGAGACGGGCGGCGTGGGGTGCAGGCGCTGCTGCCACACTGTGAGGCAGCCGAGGAAGTCCTGGGCTAGGAGTGGGGAGCCCTTGGTTGACCGCCCAGAAATGAGGCTCAGCCTGACAACGCAAGGAGCTGGACTCACCACGCCGGGATGAGCCAGGATGCCCCCAGAAGCACCTGGATGAGCCCAGAGGAGGACTCTTCCCTGGGGCCTTGGGTGGCCCAGCCCACCCCATGACTGTGAGACCCAGAGGGGAGATGCCAGTCACACCATGCCAGGCTTCTCACCCATGGGACTGGGGGCTCAAAAGTAGGGTTAAGTCATCAGTAATTTGTTGCAAAAAGTAGTGCACCAGGTGTGGGCTGCTGTGGGTAGACAGCCCTGGGGTCCGCAGACACCAAGAGAAGTTCAGCCTACAGGCAGGAGAGCCCAGAGTCCCCCTGGGGGGCAGGTTTGGAAAAGGGGAGTGTCCAGAGCAGGAAGTTCTAAGGAACAAAAGTCTTAGCTCCTAGGGCACAGGTGGAAGCAGTGCAGTTGGGGAGGGAAGGGACAAGACCCACGGTCCCCGGCGGGGGCAGGGTGCTGTCCTGGGCCAGCCATAAGAGGCCCTGGAAGCAATGCTAAGGGAAAAGAGGATAAATAAATCATCCCTACCATGCAAGACAGGACAGGCAGGAAAGACACATGGAAAGGAGAAAGTGTCCTATCAGCAACCTAAGGAAAAACAGCATGGGTTACTACAAAACTTCTACGTGGGACAAATTCCCCCAGAAGAGGCAGAGACACTAAGGTGGGATTGAAACCAAAGCCAGGCCGATGAAATGAAGGCTGAAAACACAAACACCAAAAAAGCAGAGGCCAAGAGGAAGACAAACAGCAGTCACAGGACATGCAGGCCACTCAGGAAAAGTTAACCGAGAAACTTCAAATTCGAAGAGTCAAGAAATCTAGAAGTCAAACACCCTTGGAAATAGGGTATTTTTATTTCTCCTTGGAAATAAAAGGAGACACTGACAAAAAGAATTGTAGTGGGAAAATTAAACACATCATCCTTAGCTTTGATAAATTCAGGAACTGGATCAAATGTGGCCTATTTGAATAATGCATTTGTAAAGGTTGACTTCAAGGTCTCTTTCAGAACCGGGCACGGTGGCTCACGCCTGTAATCCCAGCACTTTGGGAGGCCAAGGTGGGCAGACCATTTAAGGTCAGGAGCTCAAGACCAGTCTGGCCAACGTGGTGTGAAACCTGTCTCTACTAAAAATACAAAAAATTAGGTGTGATGGCAGGTGCCTGTAATCCCAGCCACTTGGGAAGCTGAGGCAGGAGAATCGCTTGAACCTGGGAGGCGAAGGTTGCAGTGAGCCAAGATGGTGCCACTGCACTCCAGCCTAGGTGACAGAACGAGACTCCATCTCCAAAAATAAAATAAAATAGAAGGCCTGTTTCAAAATGTGTAACCTGTGAACAGAGAATGTTATTTCTGAACGCACATGGGAGGCATACATGTGACTATACATATAAAATGAAAGGCTGAGCTTGGCCCAGCTCAGCCCGCTCCAGGTCCCCCGACTTCTTAGGTCCCCCCATCTCCTGGGCATCTCACAAGTCCTGACCCCATCCCTGGCCAGGCCGTCTGGGTCTTTCCACAGACGTCTCTAGTCTTACTGCCCCAGCAACTTCTCACCAGAGGAGTCTTTCCAAAACAGAAATTTCCAAGCTCCTGGCTAACGAGGAACCTGCCCTCTCTGCAGCCTGGTCTCTGCTCTCTGCCCCTCCCCTCTCCCCTGCAGGAGCCACCTCCTCAGAGGCTCAGGGCCTTTGGGGGACTCAGGGCCTGCCTGTTGTCTGAGTGCTAACAGCCCTCTGGGGGCCTCTGAGGGCCACCAGGCTCCTAGGCTGAGCCCCGCGTGGACCACGGGTGGCTTCTGCAGTTGACCTCGGGGTCGAGGCCTGGCCGGCTGCCCTTGGGGCCCTTCTGCCAACCTGCAAGGCTGTCCCTCCTGATAGCTCACCCAGGCCTCCCTCATTGGAGGGACACTTGGAGAGCAGTGGCTCCCCAATCTCTGTGCCTTGTCCCCTCTGCACTGTGCTGGCTCCCTCTTTCCAGAATGGGTTGGGGGACGCCCGGGGGCAGTTGCCCTGGGGAACCTCAGCCAGACACGCTGTTCCCTGGCCGCTGGGGCCTGCAAGGGAGCGCTTTGGAGCGGAACAGCTGTCCCCTGGCCCAGTCCTGACAAGAGAATCTCAGGACACCCCAGGGGATGTTTGGACCTGTGGGGCTGGGCTGGGCCTGGGGCTCCCCACCAGCACTGAGAACCAAGGCCTGGGCCAGGCCTCCATCCACTCCAGCCTGGCTGTTCCATTTCCAGGCCTAGGCTCACCTGAAAACCTCAGACCCAGCGGCCACCTCCCCAGCACAAAGCCTGGCGTGTAGGGATATTGACTTCAACCCTTCCTGAGTGACACAGAATGAAAAGTGGTCTTGGAGCAGGACATGCGACCCTATAAAGAGCCCCAAGCCACCCCTATGCCTGCCAGTGTGGCCTCAGCAAGAAGGGCGGGCCTGGACTTGGGGCACTGCGCTCCCAGGGCCAAGTCCTCAGTTTTCCCAATCTGTAAAACAAGGGCTAGAACCACTTTAAAGACAGCTCTGCTAAGGGCAGCTCCAGTCCTGATGACCCCAAAGCCGCCTGCCACAACCCAGCTGCACCTCTGCCCCAGGGCCCCACTGGGCTGGCCCACTGGCTCCAGCCCTGAACACCCAAAGAAGCCCTTACAGACCCTCTCTCCCACCTCCCGACCCTGTGGAATTCCCTGCAGGGTGTGAGGGTGACCAAGAGGCCTTGATTTGTGCCCCACCTGGGACCCACCCTGCCGCCTGCCCCACCTGCAGCCGCCGCTTCTCCTGGCCTGCTGCACGCACGCTCGCCAGGTGCTCCGTCTCCAGCCTGCGGAGCGCCTCCTTCTGCAGGGCACGCGCTGCCCGGGCGCTGCTCAGAGCACCCTCCACCCGGCGCCGGCCTGTGGGGCAAGCAGCGTGGCTCGAGGGGCTCCCACACTTCTCCCAGGTCACAGGCAGGCAATGCGAGGCTCCGTGGACTTGAGTGACTGGCTCCCACGTGGCGTGTGGTTCCATCCTCACAGCTCAAGGGTCCTGAGGCGGTCCCAGGGTCCCGGCTTCCTGTGTCTGGACTCTGGACCTCCTCCCCACCCATCCTTCCCTCCTGCCTCTTTCCTTTAATTGAGGGGGCAATAAGCAGAGAAACTTGTGCGTGTGAGGCAGTGGGGGGCAGAAGGAAGGGGCCTCTCTGAGGGGGTGACAAGGGGCAGGGCCTGTCCAGGGAGAGCCTCATGGCTGTCTGGGGGAGAGGGTGCCAGGCAGAGGGCACAGCCCGGGCAAAGGCCCCCGGTGGGAACTGCAGGAGGCCAGGGTGGGGCAGGGGTACAGAGGATGCTGGGGGCCAGATCGGGAGGGCCCTGAGGGGCCTGTGGACGTCACTCCTCTGTTCTGGGGAAGTCACTGCTGAGAACTCCGATGCCAAGCACTGGCCCAGCCTCGCCAGGCCTGGTGGTTTGGGTGTTGTCCCCAGGCTCCCTTCCCACCCAGGGGCTGAAAGCTTAGAGCTGGCAGCAGTGGGGACATGGTGGTGCCACCCTCACAGCCACTCCTGGGTGGGCGGGGCAGGGCAAGGGCGGTCACCTTCTTCCGCCTCAGCCAGGGCTTTCTGTAGCTGCCCCACACGGCTCTGGGCCCGGGCACACCTGCACTCCGCCTCGCTCAGCCGGCTGCTCAGGGTGGCCATCTGGACACGGGAGTCGTCCTGGGCAGAAGGACTGAGGTCAGTGGTGGCAGCCCAGCGGGCGGGTGGAGGGCCAAGGTATCTGCTAGAGGGTCGGGGCCAGCTGGGGCCGCTCACAGTCTAGCCTGTGGGTGTGCAGGGCAGGGCAGTGGGTGGGGCGGGTCGTGGGCTCAGGGAAGGTGCAGCGAAGGTGGTCACATGGGGAAGCTGAGCTGACCTGCAGGCCTGGGGAGGTGGAGGTGCCCACTGGGGCTGGGCCTGAAGGGTCCAGGTTTCAAGCACAGGTGTGCTGTGGGAAAGCTGGCAGGTGGTGGCCCACAGCCTGTGGTCAGGGGGACCGGCAGGGGCTGCCCTGGCAGGACTTGGGGCTGAGTGCAGACAGGACCCTGCCCCCTGGGGCTGGCAGCGGTGGGAAGGTGGGCCTAAAGGGAACGAGTGTGCACGGAGGACCCCGGCCAGGGCTCAGAGCCTGCCTCTGTTTTTCCCACAGTCCTGCCCACTGGAGTCCCCTGCCCACTGTCAGCCAGCAAGTTGGGAGGGGGCCGCTCACAGGTGGTTCTGTGGGAGCCGTGAAGCCAGGAGCAGCCCCTGGGGAGCTTGGCCCCATCGGAGGGGAGCACTCGGGGGAGCTGGCTCTGTCCTGCACTTGCCCTGGCAGCTCTTCAGGGGTGGCATGAGCTGCAGAATGCCCTGCCCTGGGCCCTGGTGGGTGTCACAGCAGGGCCTGGCTCCAGGGGCTTTTCAGCCTGGTCTGAGGAAGGGGGAGCCCCCAGCCACCCGAGGCACTTGGGTTTGGGGGCCGTGGTGGTACTGGTGTTTAGCACAACAAACAGGATAGCCTGGACACTGACCCTGAGACCCAAGGATGTGCGGATGGGTGGACAGCAGGTATTCTTCCCAGAGACCCCCGGGGGTGCCGCCGTGGATGGGAGGACCCCAGCCCCCATTACCCGCTCCCGCTGGGCTTCCCGGAGCTTCTGCACAAAGTCCCGCAGGACGTCCTGCACAGTGGCCACATCCACAAGCTCTGAGCTGCGGCCTCCGGGTGTGGGCGAGGGCCATCGGAGGGGCGAGTGGGGCCTAGCTGGGGGGCTGGCACCCTGGTGCCCAGGGAGAGCCTGGGAGCTGTCGGAGCCTGTGGGAGGTGACAGCGGAGGGGTTGTGGGCAGGAACACAGTGACAGATACTCGCCCTTCCCCCTTCCTCTCTGCTGCCCCAGCCATGGGAGCTTGGGGAGCCAGTCGCAGGCTCCTACAATTGCCTGTCCAAGTCCCTCACTGTGCGAGTCTCGAGGCCTGAAAGAGAGGTGCCCAGGCCAGGGACTGAGCTGGGACAGGGGCCTGCCTGTCTCCACTGAGGACTCTGACCTTTGGTGGGGGAACCAGGCTGCTCCGGGGAGACCCACGGGCTCTGTCTCCAGAGCCCCAGGCCACGGCGGAGTGTGGAGCACAGCCGGCCCAGCTGGGCCTCCGCGTCCCGCCTCGCACCCTCAGCCTGGGCCAGCTCCTGCTCCAGGCTGTGGATTCGGTGACAGGCCTGGTCCAGGCGAGCCTGGAGAGCATCAGCCACACCGCTGGCTTCCTGCAGCTTCCTGGTGACACGATGCAGCTCTGCTCGGAGGGTCTGCTCAGCCCCCCGGCTCTCCTGGAGGTGCTCCTGGAGCCGCTGTCCATGGGCCTCCCCTGTGGCCTCCACCTCTGCCAACTTCCTCTGCAGCCCCAGGACCTGTAGGAGGGATGTTGGGGTGCGCCCATGGAGACAGTGAGGAAGTGGGGTGGGCCTCCTCCCTCTGCTCCCCGACACCCAGCTCCTTCCCTTCTGAGCACAGGCAGCCCTCCCACCTCCTTCCGGGCACCCTCGTGCTTGGCCTCCGCCTTGGCTGCCTGCCTCCGCAGCTCCAGCACCTCCTGCGAGCATTGCACCTGCAGCTCATGGGCCTCTCCACTCCTCCTCTGGTACTCAGCCTTTAGCGTCCTCACCTGGGAGCGTGGGGCCGCATGGACAGGGTCACCGGTCTCTGTGCTAGAAGCCAGGCAGCCTCCCTGCCTCCTGCCTCCGCTCACACGGCCCTCGAGGGCAGCTGGCCACAGTCAGGGAGTCGGGCTGAGGTGTTCCCAAAGGGCCTTGCCCTGGGAGTTGTCACCCTCAGCCACTCCGCAGACACCTACCTGGGACCTCCTTGGAGGACCTGGGACAAGGAGGAGGCTCAGGTGGGGCAGGGTGGGCACTGATTAGGGAGTGTGGGCAGTGCCTGGGGTGCACTGGCGCCCACTGCCCCGAGGCTGCCATTATGGGAGGGAGCCAGGCCTCGGGGAAGTCAGCACCCTGCCCTGCAGAGGCCAGGCCTCCCCTCCAGCCTGCCTGAGTTCCCGAGCGCCTCCGGAAGGTGTTACATGTAGGACACTTCCGTGTGCTGCAGTGCGTGTCCCTTCCTCCTCGCTAGAGCATTCCTGGTTTTGCCCTCTCCAGTCTTGTCATCTGTGCCCCATGGGCACAGACCCAACCAGGGACCCTGTGAGCCTGAGCAGGGCATGGCCCAAAGTCTGGGGACAGAGCGGTTCAAAGGCGGCAGCAAGGCCAGGTCTGGGGGCTCCTGCACTGCAGCCAGAGGGTGCCCTGGGAGGAGCTGGGACCCACCAGGCAGGTGCCTGGTTGGATGTTGACCCTTCCCTGCCACCCTACCTGTCTGTGGAGCTCCTGGAGCTCCTGACGGGCGTCCCCCCGCTCCTGCTCCAGCTCCCGCAGGCGGGCCCGCAGTGCACTGGCCTCCTGCTGCAACGCCGCCCGGGCCTCCTCCAGGACGAGCAGCTTCTGCTCCTTCTCCTCCTTGGACTGCTTAAAACTGACGAGGGTGCCACAGGCTGGGGTCCCCGCACCTCCTGGGGGGGCCAGCACAGCTGCCCAGCAGGTCTCTGTCTCCCCTAGTGAGACACTGTCCCCAGTCTTCCCTCCACAGTGTCTTCAAACTCAGCCTCTGCAGGGCTCCCTGTCACCTTTCAGACATATGTCCACCCAGGTCCCAGTGCCCGGCCGCATGGCCCCTGTCCACTATCCACTCTTCAGCGCCTCCTCACCTCATCCCTCCCTGTCTCCCCCTCTCCCTCACACTCAGTATCCAGCCCAGCCTGTCACCTCTGCCACCTGCTGTGAGGGTTGTGCCGTCCCGTCCAGCTGCCCCACAGGGGCCTTTCTGGAGACCCAGCCAGGCCCTTGGCCTCCCTCTGCTCCCCAGCTCTGCACCGCCTCCTGGAGGCCACCTGTGACCTATCTTGCCTGTTGGATGGGAACTCCCTGTGGGCAGGGACAGGTGTGTCTGGGTCCCCAGACATCCCTTGCACTGGTCAGCATTGCTGACCTCTTGGACTGGGCAGTGGGCGGCCTGCTTGGCACGTCTACCCCACCATCAGTGGAGCCCAAATCAGCAGGACGCCCCTGCCTAACCCCCTTGCCCCATCCTCCCTACGGCCTGGGTGGGCAGCAGGCTGCAGGGCACCCCCGGCTGCTCCTGGGTGGCCGCCATACCTGGCCTTCTCCTGCTCCGCCCTGCAGATGGTGGCTCGCAGCTCGCTGTTGAAAAGCAACAGTACGTCCTTCTCGCGGGCCTCGTCGCTCAGTGCCTGGCGGGCCTCCTGGGCCTCCCTGCGCAGCCCCTCCCGGCTCTCCTCGATGCTCTGCAGCTCCTGGCGCAGTGCGGCCAGTTCCTCCTGGGCCATGGTCAGCTGTGCCCACAGCCTTTCAGCCTGGGGAGGAGCATATAGCTCTAGAGGCCAGCTGGGGACTACTGCTCCAGGGATAGCCACAGGGGCCTGTGGCCTCTGACGCTGGTGTGGCAGGCACAGGTGCCCTGCCCAACTTGGTCCCCATGCGCTTTGCTCACCCCATGAAGCCACCAATCCCTGCTGCTGCAGAGACTGAAGGGCAGCTTCCACCAGCTGGGGCAGGGCCAGCCCAAGAGCCCAGAGAACCCCACCTTGACCCCCCGGGCCCGGGCCCACCCTGTGGCCTCCCTGGACCCCCGGGACGCTGACCACTGGTAAGCAAAGCCTACCTGGGATGTGGCTCAGCACACGTGTCCTCACTGTCACCGCCCAGGGCCCTTCCCACCTCCCGCCCCCCGCATCTAGTCCTCTCCTTAGGTGACAGTGTGGTGCCCAGGCCGCTGCCTGTCCTAGTGTGGGCAGCAGCCTCGGCAGGCAGGCTGGGCACTGACCCCGCCACAGTGACCCCGCCACAGTGACCCTGACACAGTGGGGCTCACGCACTCCCTTGACCCTCCTTCCCCCGTTGACATGGGAGGCAGTGGGAGGAGGGTCCCTGGCGATGGGGGGGCAGTGGGAGGAGGGTCCCTGGCGATGGGGGGGCAGTGGGAGGAGGGTCCCTGGCGATGGGGGGGCAGTGGGAGGAGGGTGTTGGTTCCCCACTCTGGATACCAGGCATCTCACGGTGCCCAGGAGAACCCAGGGGTGGGGTCTGGAGGACAGTGGCAGCCTGGCAGGAAGGCCCTCCCCGGCACCTACGCTCTGGGGTGGGGACTTGCTGGGGTTTGGCCCTGGCGCCCAGTCTCCTGCCTCCCAGGTCTGAGCTCTGGGCCTGGCCAGAAACCCTGGAGAGGGCTCCCTTTCGGCTCTCGTGTGTCCCGGAGGAGGAGACGGAGGGAGCTGGTGGGGCATGCCCAGAGGTGGAAGCCACAAAGACTCCGCGACCGCAAGGCGCTGGCTGGCCGAAAGCAAGCCCCTCTTTCTGGCTGTTTTCACGGGATATTGTCCAGGCCCCCGGCCGGCCTGGCTCCCGAGGCTGCCTCTGTTATTGTTGTTCTGTTTTTGGGAAGGGCTGGAGCCTCCCCTCCGCTCCCCTCCACCCCCACACGTGGGAGCCGTGACCGTGCGGAGCATTTTCCGCCGAGCTCAGCAGAAACCCGCCCAGAAGGTCAAGGACCCGCACAAGGGCCCATGCATCATAAAAGAAACTGTTTTCATTTCCCAGGGCAGAGGAGATGAAAACAAGCAAAACAAATGCAGGAGGAGGGCCGCCCCCACCCCACCCGCTCCCTCTGCCTCATGAGAACAGCCATCCCTTTTACAGGAATTTTACAGCCAAATCACTTAATGTGATTATAATAATTATTTCGTTGCTAGAAATTGTATAAACAGCCTCTTTTAAAAATCTCCTGCAGGGAGGCAGCTCCAGAGCTCTGCAGGGGAGGAGGGCTGTGGAGGGACAGCAAGGGAGGGTGAGTGTGTGAGTGTGTGTGAGTGTGTGTGTGAGTGTGCGTGAGTGCATGTGTGATGAGTGTGTGAGTGTGCATGTGTGTGAGTGTGTATGTGTGTGAGAGTCTGTGTGTGAGAGTCTGTGTGTGAGTGTGTGTGTGTGATGAGTGTGAGTGTGCATTTGTGTGAGTGTGCGTGTGTGTGTGCATGTGTGTGCGTGTGTGATGTGTGAGCGTGTGTGTGTGCGTGTGTGAGCGTGTGTGTGTGCGTGTGTGTGAGCGTGAGTGTGTGCGTGTGTGTGAGTGTGCGTGTGTGAGTGTGCGTGTGTGAGTGTGCATGTGTGTGAGTGTGCGTGTGTGTGAGTGTGCGTGTGTGTGAGTGTGCGTGTGTGAGTGTGCATGTGTGTGAGTGTGCGTGTGTGTGAGTGTGCGTGTGTGAGTGCATGTGTGATGAGTGTGTGCATGTGTGTGAGCGTGTGTGAGTGCATGTGTGATGAGTGTGTGCATGTGTGTGAGTCTGTGTGTGTGAGATGAGTGTGCGCGACTGCATGTGTGAGTGTGCATGTGTGTGATGAGTGTGTGTTTATGTGTGTGTGCATGTGTGTGATGAGTGTGTGTATGTGTGTGTGCATGTGTGTGAGAGTGTGTGTGTGATGAGTGTGTGTGAGTGTATGTGTTTGCATGTGTGTGAGTGTGGGTGTTGAGTGTGTGAGTGTGTGTGTGTGAGAGAGCTGGTGCAGGTGTCCACTCTGTCCGTGGTGTGCATATGTGTGTGCATGCATGTGTGTGCACGTCTGTATGCCTGTGCGTGCACTGTGTGTGTGTGCATGTGTGTGTGATGAGTGTGCGTGAGTGTGTGAGTGTGTGTGTGTGATGAGTGTGTGTGTTTGAGCTGGTGCAGGTGTCCACTCTGTCCATGGTGTGCATACGTGTGTGTGCATGCATGTGTGTGCAAGTCTGTATGCCTGTGCATGCACTAGGTATGTGCATGAGTGCACACATGCATGTGTGTACTTGCACGTTTCTGTGCATGCCTGTGTGCACTGTGTGGTGTCCGTATGTGATTCCAGCATGAATTGTGTGAGTGTGAGTGCGTGGGGCATGTGTGCATTCAGCATGCATGCACCACTCTGAGTGTTGAGTGTACACAGGCGTGTGTGGTCTCGCTGTGTGGATGATGTGTATGCATGTGTGCACACACGTGTGGACCTCAGGCAGGGTCTGAGAGCCTGGAAGTTCCTCCAGTTTAAAGGTTGTGAAAAATGTTACGGTTTCCATGGTGACCCTGGGCCAGCCTGGCGCCTGGACGGGCTCTGCTTGCTTTTCTCTGTGATGGTTCCTCTTGTCCCCCTCAGCCGTCCTCACCTTTTGGCCCCCACTCCCTTTCTGGGCACCCTGCTCTGTTCTGGGAGCCCCCACTCCCTTCCGGGGGCTGCTCCTTTGAGAGCCTGACCTTCCCATGAGGCCTGCACTCCCTTCCTTGAGGCCGGCAGAACCAATGCACCCCCACCCCCTCCACACCTCTCCCTCCCCCTCCCCCTCCCCCTGCTGCCCCTAGTTTTGAAATCTCCTTTTGCTTCCCCGTGTGGTCGCTGACCGGGCCTGACTTTGAAATCTGTTGAAAGGAGACCTTTCTCCTTGGGGCCAATGTAAACAGCCGGTCATGTTAAATCATGTTCTCTTCCTCTCTCAGCCTGCCTCTCGGGGGTGCTTGGGGAGGGCTGAGCCCCTCTCCTCACTCTCCCCTGCCTGGCGGCCCGGCCTCTGGGGCGTGGTGTGCGCCAGCACCAGGTCAGCTGTGCAGTCCCCAGCCTTGGCAAGCAGCCCAGGGAGTGTGCGAGGCTGCCCCGTCCCCATGGGCCCTGCTGGGGCTCCAGCTGACCCTCCCCTCTTCCAGCCCAGATCCGTGTGCCCTCCTGCCCTTGCCACACACAGGCGTCCCCATATCCTGCCAACCCCCCTCAGAAACGCCTCTCCAATCTGCCTGCCTGCTGAGCCCAGGCCAGCCTAGCCCTGGCCACTCTTGCCCCCTGCCCAAGACTGTCCCCCACCCCACGTCACCATCACGTGGCTCCTGGGGGCCTCCATGTCAACCTTGGGCCCTTGGCCAGGTCCAGGCCCACCCCGAAATCTCCACTAACCCACTTCTTTTCTTGCCCGCTGCCCTAAATCCAGCCTCCCCCCACCCTAGTGTCCAGACCAATGAGGTCCATGCCTCCCGCTGTGTGGACAGAGCCCAGCTTGTCAAGGGCCTCCCCACGCCTCAGTGGATGGTGCGATTGGTCTCCTGGCCAAGGGTCCGAATTCTCCTTTGCCCCAGGTCATGCCTGTCTCTCGGAAAGGCTTTGGGAGGTGACAGCTGCCCCAGTGCCTCCAGAATCAGACCCTTCCTGACTCCACTTTCTTAACTGTGTGTGGAACAAGGGGGCTGTCTGGACTCCCGGAGCCTTCGGCTGCGTGGCTCTGGCCACCCTTTCACATGCTGGCCTTCCCAGCAGCAGGTGTGCCCCACCAGTGCCCTGGGAGCTGGCAGGTGTGCTGTGCACCTTCCCAGGACAAGCAGGAGCCGCATCGGGACCCACGGCAGCTTGCAGAAAGCTCCCCTCCCGCTCAGCTGGCACCCTGACTCAGCCAAGTCCACCTGACTCGGCCAAGCCCACTTGCACCCCAAAGTCAAACTCACCCCTTCAGGAGGCTTAGAAATGATGCCTTCTTTTCCCTGAAAACCAGTGTCAGCTTCCCTTAGCCAATGGCCTGGGCCAGGCACCGTTTCATCTGCTCTGAGAGCCCAGGCTTGGCTTATTGCCCGGTATGAGGGCCCCTAGCCCCACAGCCCCTGTTGCTGTTTGCCTCTTCCTAGTCCCGGAGACGACTCTGCCCTCCTCCGTGGTACAGCCTCTCTTTCCTCCTGGCACCCCCACTCTCTTCTTTCTTGGTACCTGCCCTGCTTTCTTCTCTCCTCTGACATCCCCAGAAGCCCCCCAGCCCCACCCCTCACCTCTCTCTCCACATCGCCCCGCTCGGCCGCTAGGTCCCGGAGGCTGTTGCGTAGGGCCGTGGTCTCCCTCTGATGGGCCGTGATGGCATCCTCAAACTGGGCCTGGAGGGCCTTCAGCTCCTCGGCTGTGGAGCTGATGGTGGCCTGCGGGGAGAAGGGAGCCCACAGTGGCACCAGGGAGCGGGGCCCAGCAGTGGAGGGTGAGGTAAGGCCAGGACCCTGGAGCAGGACGTGTTGCAGTGGCTGGGGAGGGGGAGCTGGGCCCTGCTGATCACGCACGCCCCGGGTAACCGGTGTTTCCTAAACTATCAGACAGGCTGCTGGGATGAGGAGATGTCCACGGTCCCTGCCAGCTGTGATGTGTAAGTGCCCATGGACACAGCAGGAGGCAGCCGCTCAGCTCAGCCTGCGCCCTGGGGCAGGGCCCATCCCTGCAGGGACCACCACACACTGGGCAGCTCTACCCTCCATTTGGGACTGAGCTCAGCTGGAGTTGGCTCCCTGTCGCCTACACCACCCGAGGTGTCCTCTCGGGCCTTGGGGCAGTGTGGCCAGTAGGGATCCTTGGGCCAGGAGGCCCCAGGCTCAGCGCATGGCCCCTTGTTCATGGCCGAATGCCGCCTTCTTCACCCCAAGCCCCAGGCCCCTTGGGACACCACCCTGCTTCCTCTCAAGGCCCTCCCCTCTGCACCCCTGCCCAGGTTAGGGCGGCAGGGCAGACGGGGCTCAGGGGGGTCTCAGCTTTCTGGGCTTCAGTGTCCCCAACATGAAGAGTCAGAGCCCTGCCCTGCTCAGGTTCCACACCCCTGGGCTCGGGGCACCGGACCAAGCCTCCAGGCAGCAGCGGGCGGTTGGCAGGGGGTGGCTGGTGGGGGATGGCTCCCTCCAGAGCTGGCTCAGTGTTCCCGGGGGCACTGGTGCCCACATGGCTGCCCCTGTGCCAGATCTCGGGAGCCCCTCCTGTCCACCTGGATTCTGCTAGGGTGGGGGCTCCTGCAGCCTGTGACCCGTGACCCCTGCTCCTGGGAAAGGAGCCGAGCTGCTGCCTCCTGTCCTCATTCTCCACAACCCCCTGTGGTCTCTCCGGACTGACAAGGGCCATTTTGGGTGACCAGGCCATGGCTCTGTGCCTCAGCATGCCCCAGTGCTGCCCTGGCTGCAGGATACCCCTGTGAGGGCCTCAGGGACAGGGCAGCGGCCGGGAGCCCGGCGGCAGTGGTGACTCAGCCTGGGGGCACACGCTCTCCTGTCATCTGGAGCCTGGTGCTCCTTGGCCAGCATTCCTCTCCTCCCACTGCTCTCAACAGTTTCAATTTCCATTTTCTGAGCCGAGGTGGCAAAGGAACCCTTAACGAGCTCCCCAGGGAGGCCGGCTGGCTGGCAGGCCTGGTCCCGAGCCCCAGGGAGACTCAGGGCCAGCTCGAGAGAAGGCTCCAGAAGCCAGCACTGGCTCCAGATGAGGCCTCTCTGTGAGCCACAGGCGTCAGCTCCCAGGGCCCCAGGAGGGCTTTCCTGGGTCCCCGCCCACGGGTGGAGCCGAGGGAGCTGCTGGGCCAGTGGTCGGGAGGAGGGAGGGGCAGGGTCACAGGCCCGATGCCAAGCTTGGTCCTCCTGGGCCCCGTGGAACGCTCTAGGCCTCAGGGGCAGGAACAGAGCAGGGCAGGGCTCCACGGCGTGAGGGGCAAGGCTCCCCTGGGCTGCCAGGCACTCCTCTGGGCAGCCCTGCTTGGAGGGACTAGGAATCCGGGTCGTGGCGTCGGGCAGGAGGGGGCGAAGTGACACCCCAGTAGCCGCCTCCTCATTGCAGTGCCCTCTCCTGCTGTGCAGCACCCTGGGGATGGGGCACACGCCCTCCATCCTGGCTCCGAGTCACCGAGCGTCCCCCAAGGCCCTGCTGCCTAGACACCCCGGCCCCCCAGCAGGCGGCCTGCGTATGCCTCTGTGCAGTCAGTGAGAAGTGCCCCCGTTCAGAATGGGCACAGAAGGGGCCTGCCTCCCGCACCTGGCACCATGGCCTGTGTTCTGTTCACTGCACACTGAGCCATACATTCAACGCCAGTCAGGTAAGTGTCCAACTCTGCCTCCTTGCCAGGGACAGGGAGGAAAAAGTTTGCCCGAATTTAAAATGAGCCAAGAAGTATGGGAAAGAACGGCCTCGTCACTGAACATACTGGGAGCTGGGACAGAGGCAGGAGGCAGGTGTGGGCCCAGCTAACGGGGTGTGTGCGGCCAGAGAGGGCAGAGAGCGGGTCAGAGCTGGGGTCGGCAGTCAGCCTCACCCTCAATCCTACCTGTTCCTGGAAAGGAGAGGAGCTGCGTCCTGTGCCTTGAGCCCATTCCCTCCCTGCCCAGGGCACCCTGGCACTTGTGTCTGTTCAGGGCCAGCCCCTGCCACCCAGGACAGCAGCCCCGACCTCAACACAAACAGCCCCTCCTCAGGCCCCCTGGACCTTGGGAGGCCCTGCTGTGGCTCCTCCATCTATGTCCTATTGCTGGGCTCTGGCCACCCTCCCTGTGAGCCAGGCCCCCATCCATGTTCTATCACTGGGCTTTGGCTACTCCCTAGGAGCCCTGCCCAGTCTCTTTGTCTCCCATGTGGGACCTGGTGCCACGTCACAGATGGGCTGAAGCCTTGGCGCTCTGTAAGCAACAACAGTGGGTGCCCAGCCTTGCCCATGAGCTGGAGGCATAGGCCTCAGAGTCCTCCTCCCCAGATCCCTCCTCCCCAAAGCCCTGCTCCCCAGATCCCTCCTCTCCAGAGCCGTCCTCCCTATAGCTCTGCCCAGTGCCCTATTTGCTGCTGCCCGCCCAGCCCTCTGGACTTGGGCTCTAGGGGAGGCCTCAGGGGTCCCAGGTGACCCCCACTGGCTGCCTGCAGCAGCCTTTGTGCATGGGAGAGCCTCTGTTCACTGGCTGAGGGTGGGCAGCTGTTTGCTGGGGGCTGTGCTAGCCCCTCAGTGGACGCCTCTCTCCTGGCTCCACTCAGGACTCAATATGGGTTTCCCTTCCTGCTAAGAGTTTCCTCGGGTGCAGGCCCAGCTGCCTTAGGTTCAGTTTCTCCCTTGGAAGGATCTCTGTGGTGAGTTCCCCGAGGCTGGTGCACATGTCCCCAGCTGTGCTTTTCTATGAGCAGCTCCAGTGCACACACGGGCTCAGCCGCTTGCTGCTGCTGGCTCATGGGTGGCCCCCAGCTGGGCCAGGCCTCCCCTCTCTGGCCCCTGCCAGCCCTGAAGCTAAGGGAGAACTGCTTTGGTTCACTGGGACCTTTCCTGCCCATTGGGTGCCCCTCCCACCAGGAGCCCTGGAGGCACCGGGGGGAAACTGAGGCTCAGGAAGGGAGGGGATGGAGAGGGATATGCCACTGGGACCAGGCAGGAGGGGTGGCTCCCTGGGGTCAGCTAGCACCTGCTTGGCTGTGCACGTGGCCGGGCTGCGTGGGGCTCACCTGTGCTTGCTCCTGCTGGCTCTGTGCCTCCTGCTGTACCCGCTCCAGCACCCTCCTGGCCCTGGAGAGCTCCTCGCTCAGAAGGCTCCGCTCTGCTTCTTTCAGGGACAGGGCCTGGACAGGACGGGGTATGCTTGTGAGAAAGTTGGGGAGGCTGGGGGGAGGGATGAGGCCCCCCTCGAAGGAGAGGCTGTGGCAGAATGCTGAGTGCAGAGGCTCCCCTGGACACAGCATGTTCATGTTCCTGTCTGTACATCCCTGCCACTGGAGAGGAAAGGCAGCTCCCACAGAGGCAGCCCTGGGCCCTGGGCGCTTTCACCCTCTGAGCGCCTGCCCTCTGTCCGACATCATCTCACCTCTGTGTCTGCCCTTGGGCCCATCCCTGGGGTATCATCACCTTCCTCTGCCTGTTCAAAATCCTGCCCTTTCCCATGCAGTTTGGGGGCCTTCATGAGCCACCCCCATCCCTCTAGGCAACACCCGCTGCAGTGCAGAGAAGGAAGCTGAAAAGCCTGAAAATGCCCCATCTCCCTGATGGTGTGGGAGGCGCGTGTCAGCGAGACACCCTCAGCCCCAAGGGTGGCACGCTGCTCCATGGGCCAGGCTGTGGAAGCAATGCCTGTCAAATTCACACATAGATATTCTCTCTATGCCCAGGCCCATTTGGGGGAGGCAGCCCAGAGACATGCGTGCACCTGTGTGGAATGACCTCTGCACGGTGTCTGTGACATTGCTGTAATGGCAACAAAGCTAGAGGCAACCCAGATGTCCATGGGAGGAAGAACAGCCAGCCACAGGAAGACCCAGTCCTGGCAGCTCAGCACGCAGCCCAGAAACAGGAGAACAAAGCTGCAGATACACGGTTGGGAACGGTCACCGAGATGCTTTGATAATAGAGAAGAGAAAGGCCCAGGAGCCGGCGTGGACTTTCCGTCCCCTTTGTATTAAAAGTGCAGTGTTGGGGGGGTAATGCTGTGTATTTCTGTTTGCAAGCAATCTTTGGAGAGTGTTGCATAACAAAAGATTTATCAGGTCTTTGTCCTGGGTCCTTGGAGGAAGCTTCTAAACACTGGGGGTTTCCCAAAATGAGGAGTGTCTGCATTATTCCTGGCGGGCCCCTGGGACCACACCGGAGTTTTTTTTTTTTTTTGAGATGGAGTCTCGCTCTGTCGCCCAGGCTGGAGTGCAGTGGCGTGATCTCGGCTCACTGCAAGCTCCGCCTCCCAGGTTTACGCCATTCTCCTGCCTCAGCCTCCTCAGTACCTGGGACTACAGGTGCCCACCACGGCGCCCGGCTAATTTTTTATATTTTTAGTAGAGATGCAGTTTCGCCATACTGGTCATGCTGGTCTCAATCTCCTGTGACCTTGTGATCTGCCCGCCTCAGCCTCCCAAAGTGCTGGGATGACAGGTATGAGCCACCGTGCCTGGCCTCCTACTGAATTTCAGGATGGGGGCTGTCTGCTGAAAGACCATTATTAGAGGGTTGAGCCTTTGAGCCAAAGGATGTCAACCCAGCCTCCCAGCAGTCAGAGAAGCGGGCTTCAGTCACATAACCAATCACTCCACGGATCATGTTACACGGTGAAACCCAGTAAAAACTCTGGACGCCAAAGTGCAGTGGAGCCTCCTGGCTGGTGAGCACACTGGGGTGCAGGAGGGTGCTGGGCTGGCTCCACAGGGAGGGCACAGCAGCCCCTGTCTGTGACGTGCCCACACCTTGCCCGCGTGTCTCCTCTTGTGGCTGGTCTTGAATTCCATATTTGATAATGAAACTCTAAGAGGAACAAGAGGCTTTCCTGAGTTCTGTGAGTCATTCTAGTGAATGGCTGAACCTGAGAGGACCATGGGAACCCCCAAACTTGTAGTCAGGTGGTCAGAAGTGTGGGTGGCCTGGAGACCCCTGGACTTGTGGATGGTGTCTGAGAGAGGGCGTCCTGCTGGGGACCTTGTCCTGTGGGGTCTGTGCTATCTCTGGGTCAGAATTGCATGGGCGTGTTACAGGGGAATCAAGGAGAGAGGACAACTGTTCCCTGAGTGGCCTAGTGAAGGGGAGGGGCAAGAGTGGGGGGCTTTCCATTGAAATGGCTTTCTATATTCTAAACCATTTTAAAAATCCATGCTCCCCCTTGCTCCCCTCCCTCCCTCCCTCGAGGCCCTGCTTGTTTTGCTCGGCTGGAGACCTGCTGGCTGTTTATGAATCTGCCCTTACTGGACAATAAGGTCTGCAAGGGTGGGGGCCCTGTCTCTCCCTCCTGTGCCCCTCATTACTGGGCACCGCAAGGGAGTATTTGTTAGAATTTTAGGCAAAACTTCATCAAATATAGAAGTGTGGCATTCTCTCGGGTGAGGGCTTCGCTTTGCAAACAGGTGTGGGCAAACCGCCATTCAGACACAGTGGGTAAGAGAATGGAGGGTTCTGGTGAAGGCAGCCCCTCCTGGGCCAGTGGTTCCAGGTCTTTGGCTCCTGCTCCACGTATAATTCCTCTTCTTCGTTGTAGAATAAGATCCCCGACTGGGTCCTCACAGGTTCCTCAGGGAAGTGTGGGGAAGTTTCCCGCTAGACCCCCCAGCCCCACCGCTCCGCTCAGTTTCTCTGCACCGGCCGCCTAGGATAATGGTCAGCTGGCCGAGCAGAGGTCCCGGGAAAGCTTGCTGTACCGGCAAGGGTTCCACAGGCCAGCCCGTCTGTGCTCTGCCCCTGGGGTGCCCCTTATCATGGTTCTGCTGCGAGTCCAGGGAAGGGAGGGCACTAGCACACGGTGCCTGTCTGCCCTCTTAGCCTGCACTCCTGTTGTTTTGTTTTGTTTTGTTTTGATACGGAGTCTTGCTCTGTCACCCAGGCTGGAATGCAGTGGCATGATCTCCGCTCACTGCAACCTCTGCCTCCTAGGTTCAAGCGATTCTCCTGCCTCAGCCTCCTGAGTAGCTGGGATTATAGACACCCGCCACCACACCCACCTAATTTTTGTCTTTTTTTTAGTAGAGACGTGGTTTCACCATGTTGACCAGGCTGGTCTTGAACTCCTGACCTCAGATGATCCGCTGGGCTCGGCCTCCCAAAGTGCTAGGATCACAGGCCTGAGCCACCAAGCCTACACTCCTGTTTGACCGAGGTCCCCTCTCTTGGAGGGCTGTGTGTGCCTCCGGGAAGCTGGGATTAAATAATCACATGAGAACAGGCCACGTTGTCCTGTGGTTGGTCTCAGATGGGAATGAGGGGCTGCGTGGGGGCCTTGATGGGCCATCCACTCCCCAGATGTATTGCTTCCCCTGGAGCCTCTTTTCTCATATGTCCAATGGGAATAATATCACCACGTCCCAAGGGGCTTTGAACTTACCTTTCTCCTCCTTTGCCTGGCTCTCAGCCCCTCTCACATGGACCCTGCCTCAGCCTCTCCCCAGCCTCCTGGCCCCAGACTGTCTTCCACCCAACTCCTATCATATCACCCTGGCTCAAGAACATCCACTGGCTCCCTGTCACCTGATGCTGGTGCCCAAGGCCCATCCCAGCTCCACTGCACACCTCTCTCGCTGCTTCCACTCACGTGCAGCCTGGCAGCTGTGCAGAACTTCATGCCATCCCCAGACATCCTGCCAATGTCTACGTCCTCTCCACCCAACACTACTATTCCTCCTGTAAGGCCTTCCCTTCCTCCACCTAAGGATGCAGAGTTGTGGGGCAGTTAAGAGCACAGACCTCGGTGTCCAGCAGGTGCACTGCACAGCCCTGTGCAAGGCATTCAATATTTGTGGACCTTAGTTTTCTCACCACTACTTTAGGGATAATTAGAGCATGTGCCTCAGAGTGTTGCAAGAATCAAATATTAAATGCATAGAGTTTGACAATAAATCTTGGCTATTTCGGCTACTGTAACTCCTCCTGCAATTTGTCTTTTTTTTTTTTTTTTTGAGGAGTCTCTGCATCTTGGCTCACTGCAACCTCGCCTCCTGGGTTCCAGTTTTTCTCTTGCCTCAGCCTCCCGAGTAGCTGGGATTACAGGTCCCCACCACCATGCCCGGCTAATTTTTTGTAGTTTTAGTAGAGACAGGGCTTCACTATGTTGGCCAGGCTGGTTTTGAACTCCTGACCTCAAGTGATCCACCCACCTCCGTCTCCCAAAGTGCTGAGATTACAGGTGTGAGCCACAACAATGTAAGATGTTGCACCAACATCTTATAGCCCTTATCACCCCATGTGACACAATGTGGACGTGTTCATATGTCCATTCCTTTCACTCCACAGTGAATTCCTCAGGGCGGCATGATATACTGGAACAGCCTAGACTCAGGGTAGCTTTTATAGGGCCAGTGGCTGAGTCTCAACTGCTGCTGGGATGGAAGGATGGCCAGATGTGTGGCTGGTAATTCTGTGCTTGGCTTGGTATTTGAGTTGGATACACCGATGGATAATTGGATGACTGGCTGGTTGGTGGATCAGGTGGATGGATGGATAGACACATGGATGGATGGCTGGATATGTGGCTGGACAGCTGAGTTTGTGGACAGATGAAAGGATGGTAAGTGGATGGATGGATGGATGGATGGTCAGATGAGTTGTGGATAGCTGTGTGGATGGAAGGTTGGGTGCATGGATAGTTGGATGGATAGTCAAATGAACTGATGAATGATTGCATGGATGGTGACATGTGTAGATGGACAGCTAGGAATGTGGATGCATGGCCATATATCTGGATGGATAGCTAGGACAGCTAGGAATGTGGATGCATGGCCATATATCTGGGTGGTTACCTAAATGTGTGGAAAGAAGAATGGATATTCAAGTGAGTGGGTGGATGGTGACAAGTGAGTGGAGGGACATTCACATGCATGGATGGATGGGTGGATAGATAGATGAATGGACAGATAGATAGATGGATGGACGGGTAGGTGAGTGGATGAGTGTATGGATGGATGAACAGGTGGATGGGTGGATGGATGGATGGGCAGGTGGATGCGAGGATGGATGGATGAGCAGGTGGATGGGTGGATGATGGGTGGATGAATGGATAAATGGATGGATGGGTGAATGGATGGACAGATGGATGGATGAATGGGTAGGTGGGTGGATGGGTGGATGGATGGATGGAGGCGTAGGTGGGTAGATGAATGGACAGATAGAGGGATGAATGGAGAGATGGATGGATGGATGGGTAGGTAGGTGGATGGGTGGAAGGATGGATGGATGGGCAAGTGGATGGGTGGACAGATGGGTGAATGAATGGACAGATGGCTGGATGAACAGATAGGTGGGTGAGTGAGTGGGTGGATGGGTGGATGGATGGATGGATGGATGGATGGATGGATGGATGGACGGAGGGGTGGGTAGGTGGTTGGACATCTGTCCACCATGACTGCTGTGGAAGAACAAAGCTGAAATTGCAGTGACCTGGAAAGGCTGCATCTGCCTGAGGTGTGGCCACATGCAGCCCTTGTGCTGGGCCAGAGATGACAGGTGCAGTGGGTGTGAGCAACCCCGCTGCCCCCCAGCCGTGCCATCACCTGTTGCATCCTGTGCTCCAGTTGGAGAAGGCTCTTGTCCCGCTCCTGCTTCAGGCTCTGAATTTCCCCCTTCAGAGCCTCCCTCTCGGCGGCACTTTTTGTCACCAGCTCCTTCTCCTGCTCCAGCTGGCATCTGGCTGCCTCCTTCTCCTCTGCCAGGGACAGGCTCAGGGTCTCCTGGACCAAGGTAAAGGGATGGGCTGTGAGGTCCGGCAGGTGAGGCCAACAGTTGTCTGTGGTCCTGAGTGAGACCTGGCCCGTGGGATGCCAGGGCTGATGGGCCCCAGGGGCTGTCCGGTCCAGCCAGCTGCACCCACCCATGTCTTCCCCTCAGAGTCACCAGAGCAGGGAGGGCCTCTCTGGGTCTCAGCACCTGTCATCCCACATTGATCTATCAGTTTGTAAACCATTCCTGAGTCTCTGCAGTGCCCCTGCCACGGAGGGGTGTAAAGACACGTCAAACCAGGCCTCCAGAAGCCTGGGACCTGCGGGACGGGGCCCCCTCCAGCCCTCATCCTTCAGACTGCACCAGACCAGCCAACAGCACGTCCAGCGTCTTCCATGAGGGAGGCCCCCCCCAAATACCAACCCAAGCCCAGTGTGAGGGCTCCACGAGGAAGGCCCTGGATGCCCACTTGAACTATGAAGCGTGAGCAGGTCATTGCCCAGCTTTCCCTGGCCAGGTGCCTATGTCTCTGAGCTCAGTCTCCCAGGCCCCCTCCTCCCAAGGGCCTGCCATTCCCTGGGACCTGGTAGCCTTCTAGGAAGCTACTGGTGGGCTCCTGGGAAGCAGACCTTCTCCCTCTGGAGCTGTGCCAGGGCCTCGCGGTGAGCTGACGCCTGACTCTCCAGGGCCCGCTGTGCCTCCCGCTCCTGCTGTGCCACCTGTCGCTGGAGCCGCCCCGCATCCTGCCGCAGTTTCATCTCCTGGACCTCCCAGTCACTTTGTAGCTGCTCCATTTCCACTGTGGGGTGATGGGTAAGGTGTGCCAGGGCCTGGCATGTGGACCTCCGAACCCTTTGGGACTCCTTAGGGAGTGACAGCCTTGGGGGCGACCACTGTCCACTCCAGGCTCTGGGAGTGGGCGGGCGGCCCATGGCAGGCTGGGCTGAGCAGGGTCAAGGGTACAGGGCTGCATCTGGAGGCTACACGCTGACCCTGCGGCCACAACCCAGTTTGGAGCCTCAGGCCGGCACCAGGTGCGGCCTGGGCAGGGTGTTGCTGTTCCTCATGGGCGAGGTGGCCCAACTTGCTTCGTCACATGAGCTCCAGGCTCACGTTCGTGCCCCTGTGGGCTCCGGAGAGGGGTGCAGCATGTGTGGGTAGTGAGCTCCACGCCAGGGGCCCCTGCATGGCTCACTTTTGGGGAAGGAGCTGAGGGAGTGCCCTTGGAGCACCTTGCAAGGCTTGCCGAGCGAGTCCTGTGCTCCGGGCCTCCTCCTCCAGCTGCTTCTGCAGCTTCGTGGCCAGCTGTTGGGCCTGGAGGAGGCTACTCTCCAGGGAGTCCCTCTCCGCCCTGCAAAGGAGCAGCAAACAATGGGCAAGGCATCCGTAAGATCCCGCGTACAACATGCTCTCTATAGCTTTACCCAGGTGTTAATGAGACTCAGCTGAAATGCAAATAAATGGAAGAATGTTGTAGAAATTATGGTGCATCTTGTCTCTGGAGCACCATGTGCTGTTTACAAGGACGAGGAAACTATTTTCTATTCTAATGTCATGAAAAGAGTCCCCCCAAAAAGTCACCCACCCAATTGGACCCCCACATGCAGTGTGATTCCATCATGTGAAAAGCCTGCGTGGTGCATTTGTGCACGGAGATGCCACCGCTCAGAAGACACCTGGAGCACACACCGACGCACAGCAGTGCCCGTTCCTGGGAGGCACGGGTGATAAAAGACCTCACATTTCTACAATTAATTCATCAGTGATCCAACCATCAATGGCAAGTTTCATTGTTGCTCTTTGCTGCCCTGTGCTGGGTGTTTATCAGTGAACAAAGCAAGGCACCAAACAACACGTACAAACAACACGTACAAACAACACGCACAAACAACACGCACACACAACACGTACACACAACACGTACAAACAACACGCACAAACAACACGCACAAACAACACGTACAAACAACACGTACAAACAACACGCACAAACAACACATACAAACACACCGCAAGGGCTCAAGCGCAGACGCCCATATGAACACGCAAATGGTGGGTGCACAACCCCAAACAGATGAGGTCAGGGCGGGCCATAGGCCACGGGGACCCTGGCAACTCTGGACCAGGCCCTGCCTGCATTTCTCTTCCATCTTTCTGGCCACTGCCACCTCCTTCATCAGAGGTAGAGCACATCCCAGCCTTCTGGGGGCTCACCAGGGCTTGCAGAGGGAGGTCCTCTGGGCTCAGGTCAGAACCCCCAGAAACCTCACTCTGCTGCACGCTGCTCTGCTCCCCTTCCAGTCCCTCCGCCCGCAAGTGCTCCTCATGGCCCCCATCCCACACTCCCAGGCTTGAGTGCTGTCTTCACCTGGCAGCTCTTCTCCCTTCAAGTCAGCCTGGAAACCCCTCCTCCTAGAGGCCTGCCTGGTCTCCTGTAAGGGATGTGGCCTCTGCTGCTCAGAAATCGGACGTCTTTGCCTGAAGCTTGGGGACCTGAGCCTGTGCCCAGCCTCTCTCTCTCCATGGGGGCCCAGGAGCAACTCCAGGGGCTCCACCATTGAGCCCCTGGACTGGAGGCCTGGCCCCCCACGGGGTGCTCTGAGCAGGGCAGGGCTGCTTGGGGTGTGGGCTGGCAGGGACCTTGGTCCCTCTTGCTGGCTGACAAGCGGGCCTCCATGAAGGGAGGGAGCAGGTCCCCACTGCAGAAGCCTTGTCAGGGCCTGAGGATCCGAGAGTGGAGCGCTTCATAAAGCAGACCCGTGGGGAGGTCTCATCAGAAGCAAGGAGCTGCAGCAGGATTTCCCGCACTTAATGGTCCTCAGTGTTACCTGTGAGTTCATCAAAATGGCAGCATCCACGCTCTCCGGCAGCACTGGGCCAGTCAGATAAACACAGAGTGTGTTGGGCAGACGTGGCTTCAGGTCAAGCCCCTCTGTCACCAGAGGCTCAACTGGCCGTCAGGACCCCTGTTTGGTGGCCTGTGATGTTGGGGCCCGCAGGGCTGCCATGTGCAGGGGGGGTCAGTGGCAGGGCAGAGGTAGGGGCAGCTGTCAGGGCAGGACCCAGGCTGCTGAGGGCTCTGGCCAGGGCCTGTGTTCTGGGCAGCAGATCCTACCAGCAGGGAAGGGACCTCTACCCCGGTCCTTGGAGGCCCCAGGGCCCAGAAAGGAGCATGGGAAGGAGCCAAACCCACAGCAGCCTCCCTCAGGTTTTCCTTCCCAATTGCTGCGAAAGCTTTCATTTGGAGAAGGGGTTTGTCTGCGAAGAAGCTCAAGGATCCCAGACTCCAATGTTTCTCATGCCTCTCAGATTCTAGAATTTCAGGAAGCAATCTTTTCAACAAAAATACTTAGCAGTGCCTGAGCAGGGCCCTAAGCAGAGCTGAGAAGGCACAGAAGCCATCAGCAGGTTTCTGCAGAGGCTGCAGGATCCATCCAGATCACCAGGCAGCAGCCTACACACACACACCAGGTGGCACCCACACACACACCAGGCAGTACCTACACACACACACCAGGCAGCACCTACACACACACACCAGGCGGTACCTACACACACACACCAGGCGGTACCTACACACACACACCAGGCAGCACCTACACACACACACTGGGCAGCACCCACACACACACACCGGGCGGCACCTACACACACACACCAGGCAGCAGCCTACACACACACACCAGG